ACTAACACTGGATACTATACCAGTCTGGATAAGATGGTTGCAATATGTCTCATTATTCCGATACTCAATTGAAGCTATTGTAGTCAATGAAATTGATGGACTGTATTTTAATCAAACAATGTAAGTCATAATCATATCTCTCTTCCTTCTTTCTCCTTCATTTAATATTGATTTAATTTTAATTTTATTAATTACATGTATTTTATAGTACTGTTGTACATACATGTACACGTTCATGTTTTAAAATTTGAATATCACGAATAATACAACAATGGGCCCTATCTTCCCTCTCCCCTAAAACTCTCTCTTTCCTTCTCTTATATCAAATTTGTCATTGATCATTGTTTATAATACTCATATTCACTGTTCAACATTTCAATTAGCTTTGCTATTATTATTTAAAAAATACTATAAAAATACTATTATTATAAATAAAAAATATTTATAACAATAATAATTTTAGAAATAATTTCTAAAAATTAATAGCACATAAAAAATACGCTCTGCTATATTGATTCATTCTCTCTCTCTCCTAGTAATGGTAGTAGTGTGTTAGTGCCTGGTAGTGAGTTATTGTCATTTCAAGGATACAAGACCAGTTGGTTGTGGTATGACATGATTGGACTAGGAGGACTGGCTCTTCTATTCCTAACACTAACATACATTACACTGAGACTAATTAAGAAAAAAATAATAATAACAACAACAATAATAATGATGATGACAATAATGATAATTGTAATAGTTGTTGTTCGTCTTTGTTGTCTTGTTTTAATGATGATTTTTTATTTTTAGCTCAAGTTGTGTGGGTGTTAGCTTAAGGTGTGCATAATAATTGTTGTAAGAATAATTGTGAACTGTCAGACATTGCTGGAACTTGTTTGTAGTTCTCTATCAGAATCTTCAATGAGATTCTTCAATGCCAGCCTCTTGATAGCTTGATTTGAGCCACTCTCAGTCTTACGTCTGGAAACTGACATATGATCATCTCTATAGAAGGAGGACACCATAACTGAAGACATCCATTACAGGAGAATGTTCCCTACTTCAGGTGCTGAATAATACAAGATTACCACAAGTGCATGTAAGGCAAGTTACATGCACTCGTGTTAATCCTGTATTATTCAGCACCTGAAGCAGGGAACATTCTCTTGTAATGGGTGTCTTCAGTTATGGTGTCTTAGCTCCTTATAAAGATGATCCTTTATCAGTAAGTTTATATATGAATCCTATGTAACTTACATAGGATTCATAGGCTGACTGCTGGTTTAAAGTAGCATATAGCCTCGCATATAGCACATTGTAAAGCAGGAATAAAGAGAAATAGCATTGAGAATTTCATTACACTATTATTATTAAGGGTCATTCAGTATTAGCTAACTTCCCTACACTGATGTCAAGTCCCACTGGGTCGTGATTCACTACACTTATCTCAGTGCTCGTCTCAGTATGCAACACACATGACATATAATGGCTGCTATCAGCAAGTCTGACATTTTGCTCACTGCTCCAACTGCTCAGCAGGGAAGCCTTATAGTCGGGCTCAGCCTGACTTTTTGTTTTTTTTGCGGCCTCATAGAATTTAGGGCGTTATACCTTCCAAACAAACTGGCATTCGAAGCCAGTATACTTGACTATGGCTCTGTGTGTTGTTTGTATCATTCAGTTACTGTTACCTCTTGTTATCTGTAGGCTATCAACCAGTGAAGAGGAATGGACACTCCACTGTACGGGTTGGAGACTATACCTGTACATGTGGGGTGGGTCCCAGCCTGGTCTCCCTGAAGTACATAATAATGAAATGAAGAAATCAATGTGTTCTGTGATGGAGGTGTGTCACCTAAGAACTGGTAGGTGGGAGCAGAAACCCACCACTGGTAACCCTCCGCTGGGTGTGAAGGGCTATGCAGCTGCTGCCATTAGAAGTGAAATATTTTTTTTGGAGGATGGTGTAATCACGGTAACTGTTGTCATAATAGTTTATATAGGTAAGTATAATAGTTTATGATAAATATTATATAATTATTTTATATAGTTTTATAATGTTGATACCTTCCACTGGAAGGAACTCTCTCCTACTACATCTCGTCATGGTCCTGTGATGAAGGCCAACTGTGACATGATAGCAATAAAAGTTAACGGTAAGGACTATATCTTGTAGTAACTGGAGGATATGGATCATCTAATAATGCACCCAAACAACCTGGTGCCCAGTACAGTGGTGAAGGTTTACTTTCTAGCAATCAAAGATGCAATGAGATTCATTTTTATAAACTCTCAACCAGGGGCGTAGCTGGACCTTGGGTGACGGTAGGGCAAGAAAACAAAATGGCGCGAAGCGCGCCGCGATTTTGGCCACACCCTTTTTACGTAACAAAATGGAGGCATTTTCCTGCAAGCTGAGCAAAATCAGAGTGAAATTATCATTGTATATAGCTTTAAAAGAGCTGTGGTTATCAGCCATCCCCTTTTGTTATTGTAAGAACAATGAATATAACCTTTTGGGTTATGAATATAATTATATGGCCACTTTGATGGTAGGGCCCAGGCCCCCTCAGGCCCTACCTCAGCTACACCCCTGCTCTCAACAGGTCAGAGCACACACTTTATATTAATAATTATAATGAAGTATTGTTATTTGGGGGTTCTCCACTCAGACTGGTTGTATTGAGAATTGCTCGCGGCTTGAAATGCAAAGAAATGCATGTATCAACTAGTTTGCTCCACCCAATGCATTCCATTCACACTAATTATTATTATTGTTATTTTTAGGACAATGGATATCACTGACTGTTTCTGGAGACAGACCACTTCCTATTAATACTTTTACTTTAACATCAATTAATAATTCCAGTGCTATATTATTTGGAGGTGACACTGATAATGGAAAGAGTAACAATGTATATATTCTTA